TGCCAATTTGTGACGTAATTTCCCCGTCAAAATGTAGCAGTTCCAAAAACAAAAAACATACGATTTGTATGAATGATATGTTCTATGTTCATTGGAAATTTAGTAGAAACGGGATGAAATTTAAAGAAGTTGTGGCATACTGGCGCTTTTGCATGCATTTTTGACAGGCATGCAAAGAAATTTGCAACAGATGCCAGGAGAAATATTTTGTGGGGGCGAGGTTCTCTAGGGTTCCAGCACATTACCCTGATCAAGGAAATCCCCTCCCTACATTAACATGTTCAAGACTCCGAATATACTGAATGATTAAAAGAATAAAACCTTATGTTCCACACAAAACCTTACATGATGTCTACAAAACATTAATTCAGCCTCATTTTGATTACTGTTCTCCCCTGTGGGATAACTGTGGTTTGGGACTTCAAGACAAATTGCATCGAGCAGCAAGGGTGATTACCGGAGCTGACTACGATGTAAGATCGTCTGAAGTCCTAAACAAATTAGGCTGGGAAACCCTGGCTAGGAGACAAGAACAAAACAAGCTAGTATTGATGTATAAAGTCTTGGGGAACCACAATGCGCCAAACCTTAAAGATCTTTTTTCTCGGAGAAATGCATCGGAGAATATTTATGATTTACGCAATAGCGAAACTGATCTCTCGTTAAAAAAACCGAAAACGGAATTTCTAAAGAAAACATTTGGATACAGTGGAGCAATTCTATGGAATAGTCTCCCGCAAGATGTCAAGGCGGCTGAGTCAATTACGTCATTTAAAACAATGGCGAAATTGCATTTAAGCAGATGATAAGCTAATTTCTCCAGGACCAAATGATGGGAGGACAATATAGATTGTGGGCGGGAGGGGGGTTAGTTTTGCGTGAGGGTGGGTGGGTACTTGTTTAGGGGGTGGAGGTTTGGGAGGAAGATGATACAATTTTAGGGTGGGATTCTTACATACTTTGTTTTATATATAATTAACATTTAGCTCTTTGTGTGTATACGCCCTTCGTGGAAACCAGTTGTAAATAATTGTCGAAGTTAGCGTATTGAAATAAAGTTTTACATACATACATACATACATGAACAACAGCAACCTGTTGATAATTTCTCCCCTAGAGCCAATCTAAAACTTTTTTTTTAAAATAGGGTGCCATTTTATCTGGCGACAGTGAGGTGAAACATGTAAGTCAGGGGCAGATCATTGGGTTAAACGTACAGGGTGGGTTAAACATATAGGTCAGGGGGCAGATCATTAATGAGATATTGAATAATAGCGGCTGCTTAAAGCACCATTTGTAAGCTCACAGTCTACCTCGGTTTGCTTCACGTCAGTTCAGGTTCTGTCTATCTATCCACAATATGTTACCAGTCACTGAAAAACCCTGATAGGGAGTGTGCCGCGTAATATCTGTATCTGTATAAAAATTAAGAAGCAGCAAGCCGGTATTTTTGTTGAGGAGAACCACGTGTTTGAGTATATCAGACATCTTGAGGAACTGCAAGTGTATCTGTGATAAGCGATAATTCCGGATTCTACCCTTTCGATATCGGATTCTGGGAGGGATTTAAAATTTAAAAAACTTGGAGGTGGAGGGGGCATCGAAAATATGCCAATAACCTCAACGGGGGCCCTGTAAAAATATGAGCTTTTTTCAAGACAGCTTATCACCCCCCCCC